TAATTTTTATAATATGCCTAATATCTGGTCATTCCTTATACAATATAATTTTTAAAATATAATAGAAGATATAAATATTATTATATATGAATTATTGATTATTAAATTGTATTGCTTTCGTAAGATTCTGTCACATACCAGTTCTCAATTCCTGGTTTCTTAAGTCAGCAAAATGATAAAATCTAATATTTAAATATCTTTAAAAAAAATAGTATAAAATCTAATAATTGGTTACTTTTGAACAATTAATTTTACAAGAATTTGAAAATGGCTATACCCAATTTCATGTTCAATGATATGATCACAAAGATCAATAAAGAGATTTGTGACTATTAAAAAAATATTAAATTCATATCTTTTAAATATTTGTACCTATTATTTTGGGAATGACTAAAATACGCGTCCCCGAAAACTACGCGTCCCCAGTCAAAACGACTATTTTCTATTATTATTAATAGGAAATCTTATTAAGCTTTATAAGATAAGTTAGAAAATGTTTTTTTTAATTTAAAAAAAATACGGTAACTATATAAAATTTACAAAAATTTATTTTTTTAAAAAATAAACTATGCGTCCCTACGCGTCCCAGTCAAAATACAGTTTTTTTTGAAAAATCAAAACGGATTCATATTTAGCTCATTAAAAGAATATAGAATATGTAAATATTATATTTTAAACTATTTTATAACTTAGTGATTTTTTCAAAAAACACTACGCGTTCCCGGTCAAAAAACCGTTTTTTTTTAAAAATAAAAGCAGATTCATCTTTAGCTTTTTAAGGAGATTCAGAAAATGGTATTAATAAAAAAAAATTTTAAAAAAAAATTTAAAAAAAAAATTTTTTTTGGCTAAACTACGCATCCCTACGCGTCCCCGGTCAAAATACAGTTTTTTTTAAAAAAATCAAAACAGATTCATATTTAGCTCATTAAAAGAATACAGAATATGTAAATATTATATTTTAAACTATTTTATAACTTAGTGATTTTTTCAAAAAACACTCTTTTTTTTCAAAAACACTACGCGTTCCCGGTCAAAAAACCGTTTTTTTTTAAAATAAAAGCAGATTCATCTTTAGCTTTTTAAGGAGATTCAGAAAATGGTATTAATAAAAAAAAAAAAATTTTTTTTGGCTAAACTACGCATCCCTACGCGTCCCCGGTCAAAATACAGTTTTTTTTTAAAAATCAAAACAGATTCATATTTAGCTCATTAAAAGAATACAGAATATGTAAATATTATATTTTAAACTATTTTATAACTTAGTGATTTTTTCAAAAAACACTTTTTTTTTCAAAAACACTACGCGTCCCCGGTCAAAAAACCGTTTTTTTTAAAAAAATAAAAGCAGATTCATGTTTAGCTTTTCAAGGAGATTCAGAAAATGGTATTAATAAAATAAAATTTAAAAAAAAATTTTTTCCAAAAAAATTTTTTTTTGGCTAAACTACGCGTCCCTACGCGTCCCCGGTCAAAATACAGTTTTTTTAAAAAAATCAAAACGGATTCATATTTAGCTCATTAAAAGAATACAGAATATGTAAATATTATATTTTAAACTATTTTATAACTTAGTGATTTTTTCAAAAAACACTTTTTTTCGAAAACACTACGCGTCCCCGGTCAAAAAACCGTTTTTTTTAAAAAATAAAAGCAGATTCATGTTTAGCTTTTCAAGGAAATTCAGAAAATGGTATTAATAAAAAAAATTTAAAAAAAAAATTTTTTCGAAAAAAATTTTTTTTGGCTAAACTACGCGTCCCCGGTCAAAATACAGTTTTTTTAAAAAAATCAAAACAGATTCATATTTAGCTCATTAAAAGAATACATAATATGTAAATATTATATTTTAAACTATTTTATAACTTAGTGATTTTTTCAAAAAACACTTTTTTTCGAAAACACTACGCGTCCCCGGTCAAAAAACCGTTTTTTTTAAAAAATATAAGCAGATTCATGTTTAGCTTTTCAAGGAGATTCAGAAAATGGTATTAATAAAAAAAATTTAAAAAAAATTTTTTTTTTAGCTAAACTACGCGTCCCCGGTCAAAATACAGTTTTTTAAAAAAATCAAAACGGATTCATATTTAGCTCATTAAAAGAATACAGAATATGTAAATATTATATATTAAAGTATTTAATAACTTAGTGATTTTTTAAAAAAACACTTTTTTTCGAAAACACTACGCGTTCCCTGTCAAAAAACTGTTTTTTTAAAAAAATAAAAGCAGATTAATGTTTAGTTTTTCAAGGAGATTCAGAAAATGGTATTAATAAAAAAAAATTTAAAAAAAAATTTTTTTCGCTAAACTACGCGTCCCCTGCCAAAATACAGTTTTTTAAAAAAAATCAAAACGGATTCATATTTAGCTCATTAAAAGAATACAGAATATGTAAATATTATATTTTAAACTATTTTATAACTTAGTGATTTTTTCAAAAAACACTTTTTTCGAAAACACTACGCGTCCCCGGTCAAAAAACCGTTTTTTTTAAAAAATAAAAGCAGATTCATGTTTAGCTTTTCAAGGAAATTCAGAAAATGGTATTTAAAAAAAATTTAAAAAAAAAAATTTTTTCGAAAAAATTTTTTTTGGCTAAACTACGCGTCCCCTGTCAAAATACAGTTTTTTTTAAAAAATCAAAACAGATTCATATTTAGCTCATTAAAAGAATACATAATATGTAAATATTATATTTTAAACTATTTTATAACTTAGTGATTTTTTCAAAAAACACTTTTTTTCGAAAACACTACGCGTCCCCGGTCAAAAAACCGTTTTTTTAAAAAATATAAGCAGATTCATGTTTAGCTTTTCAAGGAGATTCAGAAAATGGTATTAATAAAAAAAATTAAAAAAAAATTTTTTTTTTAGCTAAACTACGCATCCCCGGTCAAAATACAGTTTTTTAAAAAAATCAAAACGGATTCATATTTAGCTAATTAAAAGAATACAGAATATGTAAATATTATATATTAAAGTATTTAATAACTTAGTGATTTTTTGAAAAAACACTTTTTTTCGAAAACACTACGCGTTCCCTGTCAAAAAACTGTTTTTTTAAAAAAATAAAAGCAGATTCATGTTTAGCTTTTCAAGGAGATTCAGAAAATGGTATTAATAAAAAAAAATTTTTAAAAAAATTTTTTCGCTAAACTACGCGTCCCCTGCCAAAATACAGTTTTTTTAAAAAAATCAAAACGGATTCATATTTAGCTCATTAAAAGAATACAGAATATGTAAATATTATATTTTAAACTATTTTATAACTTAGTGATTTTTTCAAAAAACACTTTTTTCGAAAACACTACGCGTCCCCGGTCAAAAAACCGTTTTTTTTAAAAAATAAAAGCAGATTCATGTTTAGCTTTTCAAGGAAATTCAGAAAATGGTATTAATAAAAAAAATTTAAAAAAAAAAATTTTTTCGAAAAAATTTTTTTTGGCTAAACTACACGTCCCTACGCGTCCCCGGTCAAAATACAGTTTTTTTAAAAAAATCAAAACAGATTCATATTTAGCTCATTAAAAGAATACATAATATGTAAATATTATATTTTAAACTATTTTATAACTTAGTGATTTTTTCAAAAAACACTTTTTTTCGAAAACACTACGCGTCCCCGGTCAAAAAACCGTTTTTTTTTAAAATATAAGCAGATTCATGTTTAGCTTTTCAAGGAGATTCAGAAAATGGTATTAATAAAAAAAAATTATTTTTTTTTGGCTAAACTACGCGTCCCCTGTCAAAATACAGTTTTTTTAAAAAAATCAAAACGGATTCATATTTAGCTCATTAAATGAATACAGAATATGTAAATATTATATATTAAAGTATTTAATAACTTAGTGATTTTTTGAAAAAACACTTTTTTTCGAAAACACTACGCGTTCCCTGTCAAAAAACTGTTTTTTTAAAAAAATAAAAGCAGATTCATGTTTAGCTTTTCAAGGAGATTCAGAAAATGGTATTAATAAAAAAAAATTTTTTTTTGGCTAAACTACGCGTCCCCTGCCAAAATACAGTTTTTTTAAAAAAATCAAAACGGATTCA